GGGGCTCAGAAGCAGGGACAGGAAAAGAGAAAAATAACCAGGAAAGAAGAAACCAGCCTTTTAAATTTCCTAGAAGTCACTTCAGCCAGTAAGAACAGGGGAACTTGCAACAATGGGGAGAAGTACAACAACAATAGCCACTGGCCTCTTGTGTGTGTGTACCTCTGTGTTCAGAAGAAGTAATTGGTGATCAGAACACCAATCCCCAATATTCGGGGGATTGGGCACTTCCCCCTCCCCAACACCAGCTCCCACAAGCTGTGTGTAAGCTGCTCCAGGAACACCTACAGCTGCCTGCCACCTCGGTTAGGGATGGGAGATGGGTAGCTTCTACCATGTGAAAAGCTGAAATTGACCAAAATTAATTACAGTATACAGTCTAAGCCTTCCCCCTGGAAGTTGTAATTCTTCAGTAGATTCCAGAATTTCAAAATAGGTACATCAGACAGATTCTTCCAGAGCAATGGTTGCCTAGGTGGGGAGACAGATTACTCATACTTCCTAATCTGCCATCTTTCCAGAATTCTCCCACTTTCTTAATCTTTATTATGTGACCCTTTTCTTTTCCTCTCTATGACAGCTTTAAGGTCTTCACTTTGCCTCTGATGTTCTGAAATTTAATTATGGTGTACTAAAGTGTGGCATTAGGCTTTTTTCCTCCATTTATTATGCTTGACACTTGGTCGGCAATCTTTTTAATCTAAAAACTCGTATTTATCAGTTCTGGAATTTTTTATGTATAATATTTGTCTTAGTTTATGTTTCTCCAGAATAAGACCCTGAGACAAAGATTCAAGAGCAAGTATTTTACTTTGGAGATGATGGATGCCAGGAAACTTTGATAGAGGGTCAGGCAGGTGAGACAGGGATAGGAAAGCAGGCAACATAGGGCTGATTTTCAAGCAAGTTGCCACTGTGGATAACTATAGTTTAATCCCACAGGGGAACTCCAGTAGTCAGTGTATGTAATTCAGAGTTATCCTACCTGAAGAAGAATAAGGGAACTGGGGCATTTTTAGATTAACTTCTGATAGTCATGGTGGAAGGTTGTCCCTAGGGGGTGTTAAATTCCCAACACTTTTGAACTGTTTTGTAGACAGCAAGGCAGTGAACAGAGACAACCCTTAGATTAATAAATGCAGATTCTGGTTATGGCATGCTGTAAAGTGGTAAGGATGAAGAGTTAGGGATAGGACATGAATAGCGAACATTACAATTTCTTTGATATTTCCTTACCAACACCTCTCAATTTCTCTTTTCTCTCTGGAACTCCAATTGTTTGGATATGGACCTCCTGCATTGAGCATCTATTTAAAAAACAAACAAACAAACAAATAAACTTTGCTTCTTCCTATATCTTCCTATAATTTCTTCCTATAATTTCTACTAAATATATATCTTCCTATAATTTCTACTAAAAACATTTTTTTTAATTTGGCTATCATAATTTAATTTCCAAGGGCTCTGTCTTATTCTCCATTTATTGTTGTATCACCTTATGATACATTTTAAAAATGGTAAAACATAGTGGCTTAAGAAAACAAAGTCCAATTTATCTATTTTTCCTTTTGTTGTTTGTGCTTTTGTTGTCATATCTAAGAAACCATTGCCAAATCCAAGATTAAATCTTTGTTTTTGTCTAAGAGTTTTACAGTTTTAATTCTCTCATTTAGATCTTTAATCCATTATGAGTTAATTTTTGTATATTGTGTGAGGTAGGGATTCAACTTCCTTCTTTTGCATGTATATATCCAGTTATCACAGTACCATTTGTTGAAAAGACTATTTTGCCCCCAGTGAATTGTTTTGGCACCTGAGTAGGAAAAACCTAGTTCTCCTCCTGCATATCTCCTTTACTCTCATACTATTACCACATTCACAACACTTCTGACTCCAGATGTGTTACAGTTTTCCTCACACAAAGCAATTCTGTGACACCACCTGAGTGTCCTACAATTTAACTCAATTCTGACACTGTCTACCTGGAGATAGCATCAGATCCTAGAGATTAAGGGCTCAGTCCCACAGATCTACCCCAAATCTCCTACTTCAGATGCCAGTCACGAATCCAGGTTGTTACCTGTGCTTCTGACCAATCATCTATAAATTGGAGGTTCCTATGACCCCCTCCTCAGTTTCGATTAATTTGCTAAAATGGCTCACAAAACTCAGGAAACTAGTTTACTTCCTGATGACTGGTTTATTATAAAAGGACATGACAAAAGATACAGATGAACATCCAGATAGGAGAGCTGCATAGGGCAGGATATGTGGGAAAGGGCACAGATCTTCCACACCCTCTCCAGCTGTGCCACCCTTGCACCAACCCGGAAGGTCTCCAAACCCTATACTTCTCAGATACTTATGGAAGCTTCATCACATAAGCACAATTGGTCATTCATTCTATTTTCAACCCCTTTCCCTTCTCTGAAGATCGGGAGGTAGGGCTGAAAATTCTAAGCTGCTAATTATGGCTTAATCTTTCAGGTGACCGACCCCCATCCAGGAGCACCCCAAGAATCACCTCATTAGAACAAAAGACACTGCTCTCACCCAGGAGGTTCCAAGGGATTTAGGAACTCTGTGTCAGGAACCAAATGTTAGAACAAAAGATGCTGCCAGTACCCTTATCCCTTAGGGAATGTGCCAGAAACTGGGGGCAGAGACCAATACACACACACACACACACACACACACACACACACACACACACACACCCCTTTCCTATTGCCTCACAACACCTCGGTAAAAAATTAATTGACTAAATATGAAGGTTTACTTCTGGATTGTGGACTCTATTTAATTGATCTATATGTCTATCATGCCAATACCACGCTGTTTCAATTACTGTTGCTTTATGGTAAGTTTTGAAATGAGGAAGCATGAGTTCTCCTACTTTGTTCTTTTTCAAGGTCATTTAGGCTATTCTAGATACTTCTAGCTTCCATATAAATTTTAATATCAGCTTGTCAATATCTACAAAGAAACTAGTTATAATTCTGATAGGGATTGCATTGAATCTGTAAATCAATTTGGGAAGTATTGCCATCTTATCAATATTAAGTCTTCTGATCCATGAACATGAATATCTTTCCATTCATTTAAGTCTTTTAAAATTTCCAACGTTTTGTAGTTTTCAGAGTATATGTTTTCCCTTTTTTGTTAAATGTTTCTGAATATTTTCTGCTATTTGATATTATCATAAATAGAATGGTTTTATTTTTATTCGGATTGTTCATTGCATTCTTAGTGTTTTAAAGTTCATATGTCTCTTGACTGTCACTAAATTATTTTTTTTATTTTAGAGAGGCCTCTATCAGAGTTTTGGAGATTGGAGATGGCTGATATGTCAAGCTCACTTTTATTACCAACTCAACTCATTTACCTTTTTTACCCTTTATGTTCCTTTTGATGACTCATCACTTAGTCACAAGGAAAGGATGGAACTATTTTACATTGTAACATTTTAGGTATAACCATAGATTCCAGAAGAAAAGGCATATATACATAGGGGAAATTCCTGACAAGACGAGAAATTTCATTCCTTGCTCTTTTCCAATCATCCTGGTCTTCTTGCTAGTCCTCAAACATGCCAAGCAAATTCCTTCCTCAGGTCTTTGGATATGCTTTTCCTTGGCTGGAATGCTCTCTGTGCACTTTATTCAGGCCTTTGAACAAATGTCGCTTCTTCAGAGAGGCCCACCCTTGACCACTCAAACTAAAATACGGCCTCTAGCACTCCTTGTCCCCTAACTCTGTTTTTATTATTTTAGTATTTATCACTCTTTTACATTATATTATATACTCCTTTACTATACACTCCTTTCCTCACCACTAGGATACCATAAACCCAGTTCTTGGCTTGTAGTAGGTGCTAAGTAACCATTTTGTTGAGTGCTCACATCCATTAGGTGCTAAATAAATTCATTCAAAGATTTATCAACTACAAAGAATAGACCAGGTATATTGATACTTATTCAGCGGGCCAATGAATCCTAGCCAGTGTGTGAGACCTAGTGTGTGTATATGCAGGAGTATGTATGTGTGTTTGTATGTAATTCAAGGAAAGTCTGTATAGTTAGATAGTAAAGCACCTGGGCTTTAGAGTTCAACCTGGGTTTGAATCCTTACTACTAGTTGCAGCCATATTGCCTTGAACAGATGCTTAACCTCTCTAAGGTTCAATTTCCCCATTTATAAAATGGAGATTGCAATTGTATCTGTTCCATTGGATTTCTCATGTAAAGAATAAACATGGAAAGCACTTGGAAGCATCCAGTTCATAGTAATGCTTGGTAAATGTTAGCTATTATCATTTCTCTGAGGATGAAGCAAATTCTAAATATTTCTGAACAATGTCTTCTAAATATGTGTAATAAGTATTTTCAAATGTATTTAATGCTGCTATGAATGAAAAAAAAAAAGATAAATTCATATATTCCAAGAGTCACAATAACTTTCAGTCCTTTTTGTCTAGACAGGAGTTTCTAAAAATATAACCAAATGCTTGTGGCTGAGTGAGTGTCCATGACAATTTCTAATCCAAAAAAATAATCCTCATACTAGGCTATAATTTCCATGAGGGCAAATACCTAACTTGTCTTATATTTCTCTGCATCTCTATCACCTGGCACATATAATAGGCACTTAATAAATAGTCATCTGTTTATTGTTTGCAAATGAATAAATGAGTAAATAGTAGCATTGTTGGAAAACATTGCTTGTGTCACCAGTGGGTGCTTGTCACTGACTTGATTGTGAGAATGTTAGCAAAAAAGAGTCTGCAGCACTTCAGGAACTAGATTGTAAAAGTCTCAACCTTTAGGGGCCCTAAACGATCCAGGGTGCACTTCATGGGTTAGAGGTGCTAGTTGGTAGCACAGGAAATAGGAGCCAAAGTTTTCTACCTCTCTGAGGGTAAAAATAAACAATCACATGGCAAATTCTGTGTGATTGTTCACACAAAGAATATTTTTGCAGGTCAGGATCCCTATGCTCAAATGTGTAACTAGGCACACCCAGACACACACGTACAGGTCCCCACCAACACCTACACTTTATACAAGAAGCATATATAAATGAATCTTATTGTCAGTGATTTAGTGGAACTATTTAAACAAGCCATTAGCAATCTGCTCATCAGGCAAAAAGTTCATTTCTGATGGTAGCGTTCGTACTCTGATTTATAAATGTTGGTAGCTGAGAGTTTTGTATTTGAATTTGCTTCAAGCTTCACATACCTCTAAATGAGCCTTTGGCTATTATATAGGAAAAGAATTGGATTTTCTTTGTAGATAGAGTTGGCAAGTTTTTAGAAAGGAGTATTTACTATTATGGCATGAGAAAGAAACACTTATCCACAGTTAGAGAAAGGAGAAGGGAGAAGGAATGGTGAGCTGGGTGGTGGGTCATGTCTAACCGACTAACGGTTAGCTTCCCACATAGGGGAAAAAAAATCGTTTTCAGCTTCCAGGCTCCACTCCTAAGTATGTGACTCGGCTCTCTTCACCCTCTCGGTTGGGAAAACTGCTCACAGTGTAAGTCATTTGGTAGTGACTTATTCACTATATTTATATTGAGAAGATAAATACACTAACTTTGTTTAAAATATTATACCCCAAGCTTAGAAATCCCTAGGAAAGCATATCCACCTACTTCCAGAAACAGGGTAAGGCCCTCTACCTATATGACCTTATCTAGGCCCTAAACTCAGCTTGCATCTGTAGGAAGGGATGAGTCTAGATTGGCTGGCATCTCTAATTTCCTTCACTTTTTTTTCCCTGCAGTTAATTCAGGATGGTAAATTGGAAAAACTTGAAGAGCTTGTCGAAAAATACCCGCGTGCCTTTCCTTTCTGGGTTGGGCCCTTTCAGGCATTTTTCTATATCTATGACCCGGACTATGCAAAGACATTTCTGAGCAGAACAGGTAAGAAAAGGGGTGTATCTCAAGAACCTCATCCTCCTAGGAGCTATATACACAACCCACAGGCAGGATTCTAAAGAAATTCTGAAGCAAAGATTAGTATTAGGCCTTTAAGAGACACTGGAAGAAGTGTGGAAAGCTTTTCTACCGATCCTGAAGGGGATTTCCATGTCCCCCAGTCCCTTGACTAGTTCAGACTCTCATGGGCTCTTTTAGGTCACTACCTTAGAGAAAAGCTTAGAACTGGTACCACCAGATCACAGGGTGAGGGGGGGACTTTCTTTGTCTCTTTTGGTTTTGTGACTTCAGTATCAGCAACACTCCCCACCCCCACCCTCTTTCTCTTTTGTTGTTGTAGTCGTTGTTGTTTTGACTTTTTGACTTTTTGACTTTTTTAGATTTGATTTGAGCCAAACTGACAATTGCTTGGAAGCAAAATCTAAAATGCTCCCCTAAGCTCCCTTCTTGAGCGTTAAGTTTTCAGGAGCATTTGGAAGTAGCTCTGCCTGTGCTGGTTCAATATGTAAACCCAAATGCTAGATTCTTACTTTATCCAGTCTAACCTCTTCATTGTAGTCCAAATTTTGTTTTCATTTTCTGCATATTTCTCAACTGTGTTCCCTTGGGAGAAGAAGTCATCTGACTCCCCCTCCATCCAATTCTTTTTCAAGGCTTCCATGGTAAATTATCTTATAGGACAAAATTAAAATGTCCAGTTTTTGTTCCAATGACTTCGTAAACTAAGGGCGAATATTCTTGTCTTTCTTCCCTGTGCCATTGCCTGCATTACTCTTAGCAAAACCTAATAAAAGAAAACAGCTTTTTCCATGCCTCCCATTTCCCTAGTTCTCTCTGATTGGTTTCATGTTCACCTCTTAACAGGACAAGAGCTGTAAAACACCTCCACATTAGAGTTCATGAGTACCCCAAGAGACATTTGGACCTTGCTTTCTGGTGTTTCCCCAGCCCTTTCTGTTAATTTGCTCTCCAAAAAGGATATGATAAGTTGTCCTAATTCCTGTTCTGGAAACTTTGTAACCCTCCAGCAATCACTATTTCTGTTAGAGGAAGTGTCAACAAGGAAAGAATCTGGATTCGTTTACCTTCCTCAGGGGGTTAGCTATCCTACCCCCACCCCCCACACCCCCAGCTCCTGCCAAGGGATGCAAGGAATGAGCCTGAGGCTGCCTTTTGCTGACTATTTGTGGTTAGTGTAGGCGAATGAAGAGAACCTTCATCAGCTTTGATTGATAATCTTCCTCTAATGCTGTCTTTTGTTTCCTCTGCTTGACTCTGCAGATCCCAAGTCCAAGTACCTGTGCAAGTTCTTGGTTCCATGTCTTGGTATGTATGTGCAAATGAGGAGGATGACCTACTCTGTCCCTAGAAATCCCCTTTCTATAGTAGAGCATTCCAAAGAAACTCAAATGGGAATTCAAAAGCATTAAGAGTATAGTAGAGCTATACTGCAAATTATTTAGGGAGAAGGTCAAGAGGGCATGCTAAAGTCAAAGATAAATATTTGTTGTATTTCTACTGTGAGCTAGAGACCACGTTATGTGCTTATATATACCCTCCACTTAATCTGCACAGCAACACAGTGAATTAGATATTTATTATCACACTTTATCATTGAGAAAGCCAAGCCTCAGGAAGGTTGAGTGACTTACCCAGTTGTAACAGGTAGTAACTGATGATTTCAGGATTTGCATTCTCATCAGGCTTTAAAGCATGAGTTCTTTCTCACAATGCTAAATATATCCACTCCAGATGTAAGCTTCAAAACTCACCTCAATCTTAATATATGAGCACTATTTCGATATTCCACTGTCATGACAACTTGTGCTTCACGGTCACTCCATGGTGTCTGTGTTCCTCACCTCTCCTTCCTCATCTCATCTAATAAAAATGTCATGAGGTTTTGTGCCTTTAATTTCTCAAGGAGAAGGACTACTGAATCTAAATGGACCCAAGTGGTTCCAGCACCGACGCCTAATAACTCCTGTATTCAATTTTAACATCTTGAGATCGTACATCAAGGTCATGGCCCATTCTGTGAATATAATGCTGGTAAGTGAAGGGACACAAGTGTTCTGGTGCGTTGCAAAATGCTTCCAACAGGGTGTAAATTAGACATATGTTTAGTGGATAGAGAAAGTCAAAGGGGGATGATTTCTAGAAATTAACCAATGTACAAGTACCCACTGAGCAAGAGTGTATCTATGTAAGCCTTTGCTATGGTTCTTTGGATGATATATATATATATATAAGATCTGCTTATCTGTCTTAGATCTATTTTGAGATCTTATGGCAGTAAACCAAGTACCAAGTAGTAGATTCAAATGGTAAGTGCTGTAGGTGTCAGGTAAGGAAATCATAGCTTCAGATTCAGAGGAGGTTCAGATTCAGAGGAGGTTCAGATTTACCATGAAATATGAGCTAGACTTGAATATGTGGATAACATTGATAAGGGAATCTAAGTGGAGTGAGTTAGTGTGAATAAAGGTTTTGAGGTTGGAATGGACTTTCCTGATGGCCATAAATGACCTAGCAAATGATAAGTGCGTACATTAAAGTCACAGATGTGAGTTTCCTCCTGTAGAAAGCAAAGGAGCTGACCTGTGCCCTTGAAAAGAGCAGGAAGAGGTTGCAGAGGGGATATTGCTATGGGTAGTCCCTGATTAAAAATGAGTTCTATTCCAAAACTGTACTTGTACGTGATATACTTTTAATTTTAAAATTGTACTTATTTAAAAGTCAGATAAGTAATTCACTAATACAGTTTCATCATGAACACTTCCAACACCACAAACAAAGCCAAAGTTTTCCTCCACCTTCAGATGCAAGACCATCCCTTTTCCCAAGAGACAACCACTGTTACCAGCTGATTGGCTGTGTTCTCAGCCAAGCTCACAGAAGCGGATTTAACCTGAAGTCTGCCAGGACTGTGGTAAAGTACCCAAGAGTTCTCGAGGCAGAGAGCTCGAGGTGCAGGTTAGAGTGGGAGAGGGCATGCTCTTCCAATTCTGGTGCTGTGCAGCTTTATGCACAATTGCGTATCAGCCACTGGTGGTATTTGAGTTTATATCTCCATTGCAATAAACCATTTCTACCTCTCTCACTCCTCAATCCCACACAGCCTCTCCTCTCACTGAATTGTGCCAGCTTTGAGCCTTCTCTTTGCTCTCATTTCGTCTAAACTCACTTTTTTTTACTCAGTAAAACCTACATAATTCAGGATGAAAGCAATTGACTAAACATTTGACGCAGGTAAAAAGCTATCTTAAAAAATCCATTTGCCTTTTTCCCCTATGGCCTCCAAATTCTTAGCATCTAGCTATAGGCACAAGTGCTCAACAAATGTCGGTTGATCCAAACTTAAACATTTAGATTTATTCGTATTTTTACACAAAGAATGCTTATTATGACAAAAACATTTTCAACAGAGAACTCTGTAGCAGTTTAAGCCACAAAACATTTCAGGTAGTGCATCTCATTGTGGGGGGCGGGGCGAGTGAAGTGTACACAGGCCAGTTGCCTGCAGGGTTCCTGTTCACAGCTTCTCCTTGTCTCCCACTTCTAAATCAAAAATGTTTTTTGTTTTTTTTTTTTTAAATATTCCAAGTTTATTTTAAATGTGGTTTTGGTGGTTGGGAGTAGTGATGGGATGGGACGTCTAGCAGTTTGGGGACCGAAGATGAAGGAAGCCCTGAGGAGACCCCTTGTAATTATGGGTATCAGAGATTGTTTTACTGAAACTCTGGTCTGTTTTAAAGCAGAGTTATGATAATAACTGAAAGGTTGAAGATATTTAATTCAGCCATTGACTGAATACCTGGTTTACTTCATGCTCTTTCTCACCCAGCTGGGTGCATTTTTTTTTTCCCTTCCTCATGCCAAGTAAACACTTGGCTTATTTCCTTGTATGACTTTTGCCCCTTGCTAATTCAGGGTTGTCTCCTGTACATCATTAAGGGCAGGGTCAGGGAGGAGATTTGAGACAAAGGCACTCTGATGATGATGATGTTGTTGATCTTAACCTCCTGGGCCAGGGTAAGTGGGAGAAGATTTGCGGCACTCAGGACACACTTGTGGAGGTCTTTGGGCACATCCGTTTGATGACCCTGGACACACTTATGAAATGTATTTTCAGCCAGGAGACCAACTGCCAAATAAACAGGTCAGTGACAGGAGGGCAAAAAAGACATTTGTTTGCCATTGTATAAATCATTTATTAACGTATCCCCACTTTCTCTCTAGCACCGATGATCATTATGTAAAAGCAATGTCTGAAGCCAGCAAAATCAACTTTTCCCATTTGTACGGTTTCTTACTTCACCATGACATAATTTTCAAATTCAGCCCCGACGGCCACCGCTTACAGGAGTTAAGCAAAATTCTGCATCAGTACGCAGGTATTTCTTGGGTTTGGGTTGCCCAAGTGCATAACTCTATGGTATCTGTGTAGAGGAATGGGCTTTAATGTGAAAAGAGAGAATTTTATTCTTAATGGAGACTTTATATGAACACTGCTCAAATGAAATACAAGCCCTTGCAAAGAGTTTGCTATATTCATAGTAGTAATCTTGTGAGACATTTACCATACATCATACAGTTTTCATTATGTATAATTTTTATTCATACAAATATAGCAGAACAAATGGACATTTAATAGTTCAAAGCGTACATGGCATATAGCTTTTCATGCCATGACTGCAGTAATAATGATGAGCCAAAAATACTCATGCAACATAGGAATGAATGGGGGGACAGAGTAAACATGGGCATACACATTCAAAGAAAGGGGAAATGGGGAGTTGTCCAATGGTTATAAAGTTTTAGTTATGGAAGATGAATAAGGTCTAGAGATCTGCTGTACAATTTAGTGCCTGTGGTTAACAATAGACACTGTGGTGATGATTAAATATGTTAATATACGTAAAGCGCTCAGGACAGTTCCTGGAACTGAATAAATGTTGAAAATAAAATATATTCGTTCCCAGGAAATATGCAAGACACACCTACACATGCACACTCACACACATATATACACACATGAACATAGATATAATAAGGAGGATGCAGAGATAAGCAGGTAGAAACAATGTAAGACACAAATGGTGCTTCCACTTCTTTCTATTGCCAGATAATATTCTCTTGTATAGATATACTGCAAATTGAGAAATAGTTCTCAAACCTGTTCCCATCATGATCCACACAGAAAATGTTAATATTGGTATGGCTCATGGAGTAACAGGAGTGAATTTTGTGGCATCTGCATAGGACTTGGCGAAAAAGTTCTTTACATGTTCTTTAAATTACATACTTATGGTTAAAAAACAATACAGACTATTAAAGATTAATTGTTAAATTCAGAATGAAATCTTTCAATTTTTAAAATGTGTATTTAGTCAAAATTATCAATAATTTCTTTCATTGCATCTGGATTTTGAGTAATCGTCCAAAGCCTTCCCCTATTTTAGGGTATCTCAACCATGGTGCTAAAAATCAGTCTTTATTGTGAGAAGCTGTCCATAGGATGTTCAGCTGGATCCCTGACATCTACCCACTCAATGCCAGTAGGACTCTGACAGTTGCAGCAACCAAAAATGTCACCAGACATTGCTGAATGTCTCCTGGTATCAAAATTGTCCCTGGTTGAGAACCAATGCCCTGTACCCAGATTTTAGAGAGATTCATCCATGTTTTCTTCTGGCGAGTGTATGGTTTTGTTCTTTCTGCATTTAGATCTCTGCTCCACTTAGAGTTTATTCTTATATATGATGTGAGTTGATCTAATTTTTCCAAATGATTATTCAGTTGTCCCATCACCACTTATTAAAAAGTTACATCTTTTCCAGTAGTTTTAGATGACCACCTCTATCACACTCTATATTGACCTACATACTTGGACCTATTTCTGGACTTCTTTTTTATTCCATTGGTCCGTCTATCTATTCATATACTAGAATCACACTGATTTATTTAATTTTGTAGTATTTTAGTAGAAATTTTATAGTATTTTTCAAATTAAAATTGTTTTTAGAGAGTTTAGGGCTTACAGAAAAATTAAGCAAAAAGCACAGAGTTCCCTTATACTTCCTCATCTCCCCCACCCCCTCCACACACACACATACACAGTTTCTCCTATTATTAACATCTTGTATTAGTGTGGTACATTTGTTATAATTAATGAGCCAATATCGATATGCTATTATTAACTAAAGGCCATAGGGTTAACTTTAGGGTTCACTCTTTATGTTGCACACTGTATGGGTTTTAAAAAGTATATAGATATATTTACACCATTGCAGTATCATACAGAATAGTTTCACTGTCCTAAAAACTCCCCTGTGCTCCACCTATTGATCCCCTCTGTCCTTGCCCTGAACTTTGGCAGCCACTGATTTTTTTTACTCTCTTTATAGTTTTGCCTTTTCCATGTCATTAGTTGGAATCATACTGTATATAGCTTTTTCAGATTGGTTTGTTTCACTTAGCAATATGCATTTAAAGTTCCTCCATGTCTTTTAATGGCTTCATAGTGCATTTCTTTCTATTGCCAGATAATATTCTATTGTATGGATATACCACAGTTTGTTTACCCATTTTCCTGTTGAAGGATATCTTGATTGCTTCAAAGTTTTGGCAGTTTTGAATAAAGCTGCTATAAACATGTTCAAGTGTTCAAGTTTCTGTGTGGACTTAAGTTTTTAACTCCTTTGGATAAATACCAAGGAGCATGATTGCTGCATTGTATGGTAAGAACATGTTAGTTTTGTAAGAATTCACCACATTATCTTCCAAAATGCTGTATCATTTTTGCATTCCCACCAGCAATGAACGAGTTTCTGTTGCTCCACATCCTTGCCAGCATTTGGTTGTTAGTGTTCTGGATTTGGGTAATTCTAATAGGCATCTCATTGCTGTTTTAATTTGCATTTCCCTGATGGCATATGTTATGGAACATCTTTTTATATACTGATTTTGCTGTCTGCATCTCTTCTTTGGTGAGGTGTCTGTTAGGTCTTTGGCTCATTTTTTAATTGGATCTTTTTCTTATTGTTGACTTTTGAGTTCTTTGTACATTTTGGATGCCAATTCTTTATCAGAAGTGTCTTTGGCAAATGTTTTCTCCCAATATGTGGCTTGTCTTTTCATTCTTAGTTGTTACTTTTTGCTAAGTGGAAATTTTTAATTCTAATGAAGTCCAGCTTGTTGAATTTTTTCTCTCATGGATTATGCTTTTGGTGTTGTATCTTAAAAAATCACTTTCAAACCCAAGGTCATATATTTTCTTCTATGTGTTTTAGGAATTTTATACTTAGTTTAGTTTACTTACTTTAGTTTTATACTTAGGCCTATGATTTATTTTACATTAATATTTGTGAAAAGTGTGAGACCTAAATTCTCTTTTTTTGTACATGGATGTCCAGTCATTCCAGCACAATTGTTGAAAAGATTATCCTTTCTTCATTGAATTGTCTTTGCTTCTTTGTCAAAGTCAATTCTATATTTGTGTGGGTCTGTTTTGGGGCTATCTAGTCTGTTCCCTTGATCTATTTGTCTCTTTTTTCACCAATACCAGACTGTCTTGATTACATTCTTTTAGAGGAAGTCTTAAATTCAGGTAGTGTCAGTCCCTCGACTTTATTGTTCTTTAATATTGTATTGGTTATTCTGGGTCTTTTGCCTTTCCATATAAACTTTATAATCAGTTTGCTGATATCCATAAAATAATATTTTAGGTTTTTTATTGTGATTTTGTTGAATCTCGAGATCAGGTTAGGAAGGACAGCGTATTGAGTCTTCCTGTTCATGTACGTGGAATCTCTCTCAATTTATTTAGATCTTTTTTGATTTCTTTCATCCGAGTTTTGTAGTTTTTCTCATATATGTTGTTTATATATTTTGTTAGTTTGTTATACTTAAGTACTTTATTTTTTGGTGCTAATATAAATGATATTGTATTTTAAATTTCAAGTTTTCATTATTTATTGGTAGTATATAAGAAATCAATTGACTTGTATATTAATTTTGTATCCTGCAACTTTGCTATAATTGCTTATTAGTCCCAGAAGATTTTTGTTAATTCTTTGGGACTTTTTACCTAGACAATTATGTCATCTATGAACAAAGACAGTTTTATTTCTTCCCTCCTAATCTGTGTATCTTTTATTTCCTTTTCTTGTCTCAGTGCATTGGCTAGGACTTCCAGTAAAAATTTGAATAGGAGTGATGAGAGGGGACATCTTTGCTTGTATCTAATCTTAGCGGGAAACATCTAGTTTCTCATCATTAAATATGATATAAGCTGTAAGGTTTTTGTAGATTTTATTTACCAAGTTGAGGAAGCTCTTTCTCTATTCCTAGTATGCTGAGAGGTTCTTTTGTTGTTTGTTGGTTTATTTGTTTAAATCATGAATAGGTATTGATTTTGTCACATGTTTTTTTCCTATATCTTTTGATATAGTCATATGATTTTTCTTCTTTAGTTCATTGATGTGCTAGATTACATTAATTGATTTTTAAATGTTAAACCAGCCTTGTAGACCTGGAATAAATCCCACTTGGTGTATAATTCTTTTTATGCATTGACTATCCTTTCTTCATTGAATTGCCTTTGGTTTTTTGTCAAAGATCTGTTGGCTATATTTGTGTGGGTCTATTTTGGGGCTTTCTAGTCTGTTCCCTCGATCTATTTGTCTCTTTTTTCATCAATATCAGATTGTCCTTTGATGTATTGTTGGATTCAGTTTGCTAATACTTCGTTGAAGATTTTACATATATGTTCATGAGAGATATTGGTTTGTAGTTTTCTTGTAATATCTTTGTCTAATTTTGGTATTAAAATAATGGCTGGCCTAAAATGAGTTAGGAAGTATTCTCTCTATTTCTATTTTTTGGAAGAGATTATAGAGAATTCATATAATTTCTTCCTTAAATGCTTGGTAGAATTCACCAGTGAAACCATCTAAGCCTAGTCCTTTCTGTTTTGGAAGGTTATTAATTATTGACTTATTTAATAAATATAGGTCTAGTCAGATTATCTATCTCTCTTGATGAGTTTTGGTACATGGCGTCAAGGAATTGGTCCATTTAATCTAGGTTATCAAATTTGTGAGTATAGAGTTGTTCATAATATTCTTTTATTATCTTTTTAATGTACATAAGATCAGTAGTGACAGCTAATTTTTATTTCTGATATTTTTAATTTGCGTCTTTTCTCTCTCTCTCTCTTTTTTTTTTTTTAGTTACCTGGCTAGAGATTTATCAATTTTGTTTAAAAAAACAACTTTTGATTTCATCGATTTTTATCTTTTGGTTTCCTATTTTCAATTCTATTGTTGTCTACTCTAATTTTTATTATTTCTTTTCTTCTACTTTGAATTTGTTCTTTTTCTAATTTCCTAAG